ATGCCGTATAAACCCCCCAAAAACCCAAGGCAAAACACCTGAACCCTAAACCCTAAACCCTACACCCATCCCAAAAACACAGTCAACCCTGAACCCTAAACCCAAAAAACTGCAAACCTTAACCCAACGTTTGGGCCTCCGCCTTTGGGAAAGTCAAGCTTGGCTCTTAGGATGGAAGCCTAAGGTTCAATTCGGATTTAGGGTTTAGGGTTTAGGGTTTAGGGTTTAGGGTTTAGGGTTCAGGGTCTAAGGTTTAGGGTTTCGGGTTTAGGGTTTGGGGTTTGGGGTTTGGGGTTTGGGGTTTGGGGTTTGGGGTTTGGGGTTTGGGGTTTAGGGCTTAGGGTTTAGGGTTTAGGGGTTAGGGGTTTAGGGTTTAGGGTTTAGGGTTTAGGGTGTGGGGTTTAGGGTGTGGGGTTTGGGGTTAAGGGTTTAAGTAGGGTTTAGGGTCAGGGTTTAGGGTTCAGGGTTTGGGGTTTGGGGTTTTGGGTTTGGGGTTTGGGGTTTGGGGTTTGGGGTTTGGGGTTTGGGGTTTGGGGTTTGGGGTTTGGGGTTTGGGGTTTGGGGTTTGGGGTTTGGGGTTTGGATTTAGGGTTTAGGATTTAGGGTTTAGGACCCCTCCGACGTGCTCGCTGCCGCTAGGCTCAAGGCAGGACAAAACTTTCACCCTCTCAGCCGGAGCTGCCGGCGGACAGGGCGGGAGACCCCCTTTTCATTTCTAAACCCGAAACAACCCTCCTAGCCTGGTTGGAGAGGGTTTCGCTGAGGTTCCGAAGGGGTGTTAAAGAGCAGCTAGGCTTAAACCCTAAACCCTTAACCCTAAACCCTAAACCCTAAACCCTAAACCCTCCGCCCACCCTTACGGGAAGAGTGTCTCTGAAGACTTGGGAATCGTGGGCTGAAGCCCTGGCCCCGAAGTCCCAAGTCCTGAACCCATGGTTTTAGGGGGGTTTAGGGTTTTGGCTTAAGGGTTCCCTGAACCATAGACCCCCCCGACACCTTCGACCCTTAAACCCAAACACAGGCGGCAAAGTCGCAAATAACTGGCTATTCCTAGTGACTCTCGGTTGGTAAAATAAACTCATGGACTTGTCATTCGCTGCAAAAAAACATAATCATGCTAAGTTGCAGAGGTCGCATATCGATAAGGAATGAGGCTGGTGCGTTTACATTCATCAATACCACATTACTCACCGATGTTGGAAGTAGGAGAGCGGACAAGCTTTTTCCTGCAGTATGAACTGCAATCCCAACGGAGGTTGGCCCTTGTGGGCCCTCGTAAACCCAGTAAGGGAGCATCTTAGATAGCCCAAGAGCCTCAACCCTCAACCCGAAATCCTAAACCCCCTGTCCAACCCTAAACAAGAAACCACAACCCAAAAATCAAACCCTAAACCCTAAACCACCGATCCGAAACCCTAATCCCCAGACCCCAAACCCCCAACCCTGGACCTTCGGTCTGGTGCTTGATCGTGGGGGGGGGAGGAGGGGGGCCTCTGGGGCCCGGCCGCCGGCGGAGCAGCGGGGATCCGAGACAGACGGCAGGTGGGGGGTTCGGCGGCGGCACTGTCGGGTTTAGGGTTCAGGGGTTGAGGCTTTAACCAGTTAGGTGTAGGCTTGCATGTGCGGAGGCGGCGGCACTGTCGGGTTTAGGGGTTCGGGGCTCAGGGTTTTTCATGTTGTTGGGCTTGGAAGCTTTAACCAGTTAGGTGTAGGCTTGCATGTGCGGACTCAGCTAGCGTGGGGCGTGGGCTTCGGGTCTTGGGGTTTAGGGTGCGGGAATCCCATAACTTTGCCGCTTCCACGGTCACTTCTCCGAGCGCACCCGCGCACGAGTAGGGGGAAACTTGGTTTGGAGCTCAGGTTTACCTAGAAACCTCCAAGGATACCCTCGGGTGAATCTTGAAAATGACGGTGCCGCCGCCACCCCGCGACCTGCAAAAAAAGAGTCTCTCTCCTTATGCGCCGGAGAGGGTTCAGTAATTAGCATGCCAGGAGAAGTCTCCGGTGAGGCGTGCCCCTGCTTGGGGGACCCTGGGTACCCAAACTAGCCCCTGCCAAGCTGGCTCAAGCCGCCCGAGCAGGGGAAGCCTCCGCTGAAGACGCCCTCCCGGACTTAAGCCCTGCGCCTTCACGCACAGGGGCCCGGGCATGGTGAGACGAAAGTTGAAGTGCCCGCATAGGCGTTTGCAGCCCGGCCGGCTGGAGATCGGGGCCTTCCTAGATTGAGGGTTTCGAGCTTGGGGAGGTTTAGGGTTTAGGGTGCAGGGCTCAGGGTGTTAGGGCTTCAGGGTTAGGGGTTTTGGTGCACTTAGGGCTCAGCCCGGCACCGGAGTTCCTCATGCAAACTGCCCCTACAACCTAAACCCTCAACCCTATGCTGCTTAGAGCTGAACACCCATGAACCCTACATGAAGTAGGGCTTCGCTAGCTAGCAGCAACAAAAAGGAAACCCGAGAGACACTCTCATCAGTTACACTCCACCCTACTTGAAGGCCTGCAGGGTCTGAACCTCACACCTGATCCCTGAAGCCTAAAGCCTTAAACGTGAAACCTGAAACCCTAAACCCTTAACCCTTAACCCTAAACCCTAAACCCTAAACCCTTAACCCTTAACCCTAAACCCTACTCCTTGCCGGCCGGCGCAAGGATTCGATGTTAGCATTATCTAGGGAGGCACCATCCAAGCAAAGCACTGGCGCACACGAAGCCTACAATTTGAAGGGATGTGTATAGGATTTAAGGTTCAGGGTCTAGGGCTCAGGGTTGCAACCCTAAACCCTAAACCCTAAACCCTAAACCCTAAACCCTAAACCCTAAACCCTAAACCCTAAACCCTAAACCCTAAACCCTAAACCCTAAACCCTAAACCCTAAACCCTAAACCCTAAACCCTAACCCTAAACCCTACACCCTAAGCCCTAAATCCTAAACCCTAAACCCTAAACCCTAAACCCTGAACCCTGAACCCTAAGGTTCCCTAACCTGCCTCTCAAGCCTTGCTTGGGAAGAGCCTCGGCGCTTCCGATGCAACTCCGAGGGCATCGCGCGCCCCCTCAAGCTCGAATCGGCAAGGAGGGCTACTGGAGCAGCTTAAGGTGCTTAGGGTTTAGGGTTTAGGGTTTAGGGCTTAGGGTTTAGGGTTTGGGGTTTAGGGTTTAGGGTTTAGGGTTTGGGGTTTAGGGTTTAGGGTTTGGGGTTTGGGGTTTAGGGTTTAGGGGTGTAGAGGGGTTTAAGGCTTCGGGTTGTTGGGCTTAGGGCTACAAGCTCTATGGGCTCAGGTGTAAGGTGCAGGGCTGCTAGGGAGGGAGGGGGGGGGGGGGGTTGCTCCTCCAGCGCCCCTCTAGGCTTCTAGTTGAACTATTCCGGCGGCGCACTTTGCGACGCAAGGCAGGTCAACCTTTATCAGCGCGCGCCTCGAACTCTGGATCAACGGCGGAAGCCCCTAACGATTTTTTAGGGTTTAGGGCTTAGGGCCGTTTAGGGTCTAGGCTTTAAGGTTTAGGCTTTTGGGTTTAAGGTCTACACCCCAAGCCCCGAACCCTGAACCCCAAGCCCGAAGCCCCAAACAATAGCAAAGTCCAAACCTTGTGGAGCTGCTTGCATAACCAAGGTTTAGGGTTTTGGGGCTTGTAGGCTTTCAAGGGTTAGGGGCTAGGGAGACCTAGTGTTTCGGGAGTTAGCCCTCAACCCTAAACCCTACACCCTAAACCCTAAACCCTAAACCCTAAACCCTAAACCCTAAACCCTAACCCCTAAACCCTAAACCCGAACCCTAAACTCCCCTGAAGCCGATGGCTGCGAAAGAGGGCCCAGATCCAGACTCCGCGCGCACGCTCTCGCTCAGACCCGCAAGGCTCCTGGCATGGCGTCGAATGGTTGAAGGGGTTTCGGGGGTTTAAGGGTTTAGGATTTAGGGCTCAAGGATTTCAGGGTTTAGAGGTTTTAGGGTTCAAGGGTTTCAAGGGCTTACGGGTTGAAGGGTTTCAAGGGTTCAAGGATTCAAGGGTTTGAAGGTTTGAGTTTAAAGGTTTAAAGGTTTAAGGGTTGAAGGGTTGAAGGGTTGAAGGGTTGAAGGCTTTCAGGCTGTATAGCTTTAAGTCCTTAAGGCTTTCGGTCTCTATGGGTCTAGGACTTAATGGTTGAAGGGTTTAAGGGTCTAGTTTGGGGGGGAGGGGACTGGGGGGTAAGGGTGGAAGTTCTCCCCCCCTTGTGTCTTGCGGCAAGAGTTCAGGGTTTAGGGCTTGAACATTAGGGCATCCGACAAGCGAGCGCCCCAAACGACTCCAAGAAAAACGGGGACGTCGTCCTCTGGATCGAGGAATATCAGTCTTCCGAACTCTTGATGTTGTTGGCGCTTCGTCTTTTTGAGGGTTTGCACTAGTTCGCAGACAAAACCCTGAACCCTGAAGCCTCAACCCTTGCTTAGGCTTGGGCGTTTGTGGCTTTAGGGTCGGCTTAGGCGCCTGGCGTTTTTAGGGCTTGTGGGTTTCAGGATTGCACGGCCGAACGCTGAAGGTTGTGCTCTGCCAAGCTGATCGCTTCCCAGCTTTTGGGGTTTAGGCCTGTTACAAGGACCTGAGTCATTCGAATAGAGGATTTTGGGGGGGTTGTTATAGTATGTGTATATATATATATATGGGGACATTCCAACCCCATTGTTGGTAGGGCTTGCCGAAAGCATTACGCCCCGAAACTCTGAAACTGACGTGAGGCGCCAGAACCGCGCAACCTCCAGGTTCCGGATTCCTCCACACCGTTTTTGGGTTGTGGCTTCTTTGGGTTTAGGGTTTAAGGCGATTTTTGGTTTTCTGGCTTTAAGGGTTGAAAGGTTTAAGGGTGTAAGGGTCTAAGGGGATAAGGCTTTAAGAGTTTAAGCGTTTTAACCCTAAACCCTAGACCCGAAACCCTAAACCCTAAACCCTAATCTCAGCCCAAGCAACGGATCTGGCCTCTGCCTGGGAGAGGCCGCGAGAGCAAGTTATGGAGGTCGTCTGCCAAGCGTCATAGCGCCATGTTGAAAAGCCTCTCGCTCCGCCAGGGCTTTGTGGGTTAGGGTTTAGGGTTTAGGGTTTGGCGTTTAGGGTTTAGGGGGTTTAGGGGGTTTAGGGGGTTTAGGGGGGTTTAGGGTGTAGGGTTTAGGGTTCAGGGGTGAATTTGTTTTGGGTTTGGGTATATCATAGACCCCAAGTCCTAAGCCGAACCGCTGGGGGGGTTGCGTTTGGGACGCTGAGGGATGCCTCGTTTTGAAACACGTTTCGTGTTTCGGGTCTAGGTCTAGGCTTGAGGGCAACCACGAGTTGCGGTTTCTCCAGCAATCTCTGCCCCAAACCAAACCCTGAACTCCTCAACCCCTATAACCCGTAACTTTGCCACAAAGCGCAGAAGGCAAAGCCCCTCTGCTGAGCCCTAAACGTCCCCAAACTCGGGCCCAAACCCCAAACCTTAAACCCCAAACCCTTAACCCTTAACCCCTGAAGACGAAACCAGGTGTCGAAGGGTTTTGGTGATGCTGTTTGGCCCCCAAGGATTTGAAAACATGGTACAGGGGGTTCAGGGTCTCAAAATGTAGGGTTTGGGGTTCAGGGGCGTTAACCCCTAAGCCCAAAGTGGTGGAGGGAAACCAAGACCTCAACCCTAAACCCTAAACCGCAAACCCTCAACCCTAAACCCTAAACCCTAAACCCTAAACCTTAAACCCTCAACCCTAAACACGGCTTCACTGCAAAACTGCTCTGGCTCGGGGCCCCCGGCTTAAAGCGCTTTTCCGTGTACGTATTCCGGTCCTGCAACGAGTTGAATCTTCTGGCCAAGAGGCCCTATATAAGCCCCCAACCCTGGACCCTAAACCCCAAGCCCTCAAACCCTAAACCCTAAACCCTGAACCCTAAACCCTAAACCCAAACCTCCTAGCCCAAAGGGGTTGTGTCTGGGTTCAAGGGTCTCGAGGCCCAAACCCCTCAACCCTACTTGCGGTTCCGGGCCTGGGCTTGGGGGTGTAGGGTTTAGGGTTTAGGGTTTAGTGTTTAGGGCTTAGGGGGGTGTAGGGTTGAGTTAAGGGGGGTCCTGGGCTTAGGGGGGGATTTAGGGGTTTAAGGTTTGGGGGGGGGGGGTCGGGGTATATATATTAAGGATTTACCTCAAAGGCCCCTAACCTCAAACTGAGGAAATACTGGGGTGTTTTTTTGGTTTTTGGGTTCAGGGTTCAGGGTTTCGCTCTCTCCGTGGCATTCTCTGCGAAACAGGTTGGGAACTGCGGGAGACCAGGGTTGAGGGGCGACAAGGAGATCTCGATCCTTGACATCTTCAGCTGCACTCCGTGTCCTGAGCCCTAAACCCTTCAATCCTGGACCCTACAACCCAAAAACCCTAAACCCCAACCCCCACAACCCCAGACCTCAGAGTTTAAGGTTTCGGGTTCAGGGTTCAGCTTTTCGGGTTTAGGGTGTCGGCCTTCGGGTAGGAAATGGGTGGCCTGTCATTGGGTTTGAGGGTCTGCGGTATTTAGGGTTTCGGGTTTACTGGCTGGGGGGCTTTAAACGAACACCCCAAACCCTCCCTATGCTCCAGGCCTTAAACCACTAGACTCCTACACCACAAACCCCAAACCCTAAACCCCAAAACCCTAAATCCCAAACCCTAAACCCTAAACCCTACACCCTAAACCCTAACCCTCAACCCTTAAAAGCCGCGCCTCCTCCGACACTAATGCGCGGGTCCGTTGGGAGAAGGGTGCCGCTGCGCCCTGGAGCTGCAACAGGCGGGCTTGGGGTTCGGGGAAAAGGGTTTCGGGTTTAGGGTTGAGGGGTTTAGGACTTAGGGTTTGGGTTTTAGGGTTTCGGGTTTCGGGTTTAGGGTTTAGGGGTTAGGGTTTAGGGTTTCGGGTTTATGGTTTAGGGTTGAGGGCATGTAGGGCTTAGGGCATAGGGCTGGGCTGAGTTTTGGTTAAGCTTCAGATTGGTCAAGGCTGTAACAGGTCTGCAACATCAGACGATGACACTTTCTTCTCACTGCCGCATGGTCTTGCTGTATGGTCTTGCTATGCCTACCAAGCCCTGACAAAGTACACCACTTACAAAGCCATCCCAAAGACCTCAAAACCCTCTCCTGACTTCTCCAATAACCAAGGAACTTTATGAACCCTAAACCCTAAACCCGAAACCCTAAACCCTAAACCCTAAACCCCTAGTAAGGAAACCCCACAATTTCATCATTGGCGAAGTAAGGTCTCGTAAAAAAAAATAATAAAACAAAAAATGCACATGTGCCAAAAACTCTTCTTCTGTCAAGGCAACTTTGGGGCTTTCAGGGCTTTCAGGGCTTTTAGGGCTTTTCGGGCTTTTAGGGCTTTTGGGGCTTTTAGGGCTTTTAGGGCTTTTAGGGCTTTTAGGCTTTTAGGGCTTTTAGGGTTTTTATGGCTTTTCGGGTCTAGGGTTTAGGGTTCGCCAGCGCAGCGGGCGCCCTGGCCAATTCGCCGGAGGCGTGGGACCCCCCCCTCCCCCGACGAACCAACCCTACACTACAATAAGATTCTAAACTCGAGTCAGAGAAACCCGCCCAATGGGCAATTTGCATGATTTTGGACCATGTTTGGCCTTTGTCAGACCTCCCGGGCCCGCGGTAAACGCCCTTTGGAAACAAATTCGTTTTCCCGTGTTTTTAGGCCACCGGGGTAGGTCCTGCGGGTCCTTGCAGCCTCCACAGGCTAGTGTAGCTTTTGGAATTCTTCTACATACTCCTAAAACCGTTTCATCCCTTCCAAACCCTTCGAAAGCTTTCCAAACCCTTCCAAAACCTTGTAAGCCCTTCAAAATCTTCTAGATACTTCTAACTCTTAAACACCCTTGAAAATTCTTCGAAACCCTTCTCAACTCTTCTCAACCCTTCAAAACTCTTCGAAACACTTCTAAACCCTTCTTAATCCTGCTAAACCCTTCCAAATAAACCTTGTATGCCCTTAACAAAGCTACTTCTGAACCCCTCTACAACCTTCCCATGTCTTCAACATACTTCCAAAACCCTTCTAAACCCTTCTAAGCCCTTTTAAATTTCGAGATTCCTTTTAAACCCTGCAATAACCCTGCAAAAACCATTCTAAAGCCTTCTGGACCCGTCTAAAACCCTTCTAAACCCTTCGAAACACTTCTAGAATCCTAAGTTTTTCTAAACCTTTCCAAACCCGTCGAAACACTTCTAAACCCTTCTAAAGCCCTTCTAACCCTCAAACCCTTCCAAACCCTTCCAAACTCTTCGAAGCCCTTCTAAACCTTATGAGACCCTTCGAAACCTTGATAAACCCTGAAAGCCCTTGTCTAAAAACTTCCCAAACCTTCCCAAACTCTTCGAAACCTCTTCAAAACCCCTCTAAACCCTTTCAAATCACTTGGAAATACCTTACATGGTTACTTTTTGTGATTTTTGACTCTTCTGGGCCACCACAAACCCCTAACCGAATGCCAAAACAGAAGTGTTTCCGCTAGTGTTTTTTGAAGCTGTTGGAAAGGAGCTTTCAGTAAATTGAAAATATGGACCAGCGAGTTTGAGGAAAGACTTCTCACGAAACTTTTCTTGAAACATAGGAACTTTTGCAATTTTCGCTAGTGCCTGTTGGTGCTTGTCGGAAAGGAGGTTTCAGTAGATTGAAAAACTGGACCAACATTTTTTGGATCACTCGGGGACTTCTTAGCACATGTAGCTGAACCTCCACCGCGAAACCTTTCGTTTAACCAATCATCTGCGCTGGCGCATCAGGGCGAAGCCTCTAAAATTTAGGGTTTAGGGTTTAGGGTTTAGGGTTTAGGGTTTTCGGTTTAGGGTTTTCATCCTGTGCTTCAGTGAGTCCCTGCAGCTGCACCAGCACATTCTGATGCTGGTTTCGTGTCTGCTGCATCTGTGGCCGAGACCCCCTCATGTCACTTCAAATGGACCCCCTAAACCCCAAACCCTAAACCCTAAACCTGAACCCTAAACCCTGAACCCTAAACCCTAAAGCCTGAGCCCTGAAAAACCCTTGGCCGCCTCAATGTGGGCGGCGGCGCTCTTCGCCAGGAGCGTCAGCGGGGCTCCGTTGCCTCGGCGCAACAGGGAGTCGGGCGAAGATTTCGGACCTCCCAGGGCCCAGTACCTCTTAGGTAGGAACCTGAAACCCGAAGCCTTAAAACCTGATCAATACGCTTTCCGAAATCAAGAATAAAGTGGAACTATGTTGCTTAGCAGGCTTTAGAGTTCCAAGGTTTTGGGGTCGGAGCATTCGTACTGTGTGCATCTTGAGGCCCTTGAAGCCCAACCCTGAACCCTTAAACCTTACACCCTGTAACACAGCTTCCTCCCCAAGACCAAGATTAACCCTAAACCCTAAACCCTAAACCCTAAGATTCCCTCGCTACCACCTCCGTGCCGGCCAAGAACCCATGAATAGCTCGCATGGGGCCTTTCCTGGAGCCGCGCCTGGGTTTAGGGCTCAGGGTCTCGGGATGCGGGTTTAGGGTTTAGGGTAAAGTTTAGGGTTCAGGGGCCCACAACCCTGAACCCCCAACCCTGAACCCTAAGCCTAAACCCCTAAACCCTAAACCCTAACCCTAAACCCTAAACCCTGAACCCTTAAACCCTAAACCAAAAGCGCGACACACCAGAATCTCGGGCCTGCCGCACCGCGGAGGCTGAGGGCCCGGCTGCGATGAAGGACGTAGAGGCCCACGGCAAAGGAGAGAAGTGACATTCCATCCTCGAGGTCGGGTTTAGGGTTTCGGGTTTAGGGCTTAGGGTTTAGGGCTTAGGGTTTAGGGTTTGGGGCTTAGGGTTTAGGGCTTAGGGTTTAGGGTTTAGGGTTTAGGGTTTAGGGTTTAGGGTTTAGGGTTTAGGGTTCAGCACTCCGGGTTGCTTTATTTACGGCTCAGATCTAACAACACCCACCCACCCAGAGAATCCCACAACATTGAGAAAGCATAAAGCGGCCTTATTCTAGGGTTTAGGGTTTAGGGTTTAGGGTTTAGGGTTTAGGGTTTAGGGTTTAGGGTTTAGGGTTTAGGGTTTAGGGTTTAGGGTTTAGGGTTTAGGGTTCGTGGTTTCGAAATTCCCCTAAAGCGGCCTTCTGTAAATCCTAAAGCCTGTCCAGAGTAGGCCCTAAACCCTGAAGCCAGCCCAGAGTAGGCCCTAAACCCTCAAGCCAGCCCAGAGTAGGCCCTAAACCCTCAAGCCAGCCCAGAGTAGGCCCTAAACCATAAAGCCAGCCTAGAGTAGGCCCTAAACCCAAAAAAAGCAAACAACGGCCTCATTCCGAAAATCAAGCGGCCTTATTCTCAAATTCGATTAGCCTTTAGCCTGATGTTGGCGTTATTCTGAAAATAAAGCGGCCTTATTCTGAAAATAAAGAGGCCTTAGTCTGAAAATAAAGCTGCCCTATTCTGAAAATAAAGCGGCCTTATTCCGAAACTTAATTAAGGATATAAATACAAATATATATATATATGGTAGAGAGGGCTTAGAGCTTGTTTAAGGTTTAGGGTTTAGAGCTTAGAGTTGGGGCTTTATGGTTTGGGGTTTAGGGTTTCCAGCTGCCGACGGAAACCCTAAACCCTAAATCCGAAACCGTAAACCCTAGGTCGCCATCATCCGGCAAGCTCGCCAGCTTTGCATCAATTCGGGTATTTGCAGGGTGCCTCAAATGTGCCCTCCCCAAGAGGGTGCGCGGAAAGAATACAGGTCCTACAACGGGCTTATGTCGCTCTAAACCCTAAACCCTAAACCCTAAACCCTAAACCCTAAACCCTAAACCCTAACCCCCAAACCCTAAACTTTAAATCCTAAACCCTAAACCCTAAAACGTTCTATTCGAGTTCACGCGAGTGTCCTCAAAACCAAAAGGAGCCTAAGCTCAAAGGAACAGGCCATAAAAACGAGACCCGAAAGGGCCCGTAGTTCGGCTGTTTCGGGTTTAGGGTTTAGGGTTTCGGGTTTAGGGTTTAGGGCTTCGGGTTTGTTTTAGGTTTAGGGTTTAGGGCTTAGGGCTTAGGGCTGAGGGTCTCAAAGAGGCCAGCTCTGGCAAGGGAAAGCCCGAGAGCTTAAACCGTACTCCCCAAACTGACATGGGGGCTTCCGAACCTAGGGGGTGTATACTAGGGGTCCCTAATTTTCGTAAAACCGTAAACCCTAAACTGAACCAAGCACATCGCAAGGCCGAATGAGCTCTTGGGGGACCCGCCTCCAGAGCCATGACGACCGCCCAATGCCTTCAGGTAGAGGATTTAGGGTAGAGGGTTACGGCTTAGGGTTCCGAAACCCTAAACCCTAAACCCTAAACCCTGAACCCTAAACCCTAAACCCTAAACCCTAAACCCTGAACCCTGAACCCTGAACCCTGAACCCGAAGGCCGAAGAGAAGGTAGGGCTTGAGGGGGATCACGGGCTTTGACCTGGAGCCTTGGGCTGTTGAGGGCGCAGGGCTTTCAGCCATTTCGAGCCCTCGAGCCCCCACAACCCTCAACCCGAATCTGGGGTTTGGGGTTCAGGGTTGAGGGTTGAAGGTCTTTGCAGCAAATGTCAGAGCCCAGGGGCAAGTTCTCCGCACAGGATGTCCGGAGAGTAATCCGACACCTGAGTCTCCAAAAGCCGCTAGGGTGTGGGGCTTAGCGTTGTAGCATCTGAAAACCGACCCCCCCCGAGGCCTAAACCCTAAACCCTAAACCCTAAACCCATGTAGAGGGCCCCAAGGGTTCGGATCCACGCACCGGACACGGCGGCACTGAGCCGCGCGCGTGAAGACGGTGGCCAGGTAGAGCCCCAACAAGACCCTCAGCTCGCTAGGACTCTGGAGGTTTAGGGTTTAGGGTTTAGGGTTTAGGGTTTAGGGTTTAGGGCTTGGGGTTTAGGGTTTAGGGCTTAGGGTTCAGGGCTCAGGGCTTAGGGTCTAGGGCTTAGGTTTTAAATTTTGGGCTGAGGTTGAGGGTTGTACAATCATACGGCACCAGGGAGGCTGGGTGCGGGGCCTCGAAATTCCCTTATTCAAGCTTCACAAATGTTTAATGCATTCTCTTGGGGGAAGTATAACCCAAAAGAACTGTTCACATAAATGTAAAAAAAGAAAGATATGCTCCATGCATTTTCGAGTCCGCGAATACGGTGAGAACTGGGCCCTAAGTAAAGTTGTCAGCACGTTACCTGCTCAGCCCCAAACCCTACACCTTGCCACCCCAACACCCCAACACCCTAAACCTTGAACCCTCAACCCTAAAAAATAAACCTTAACACCCTGAACCCTAAAACCCTAAACCCGGAACTCTACACCCTAAACCCTAAACCCTGGCTTTACCGAAGATCTTTCCGTCGACTTCCGGGGTGTGCGGTTGAAAGTCAATCCCAAGAGGCCCCTAAATGCCTCGGGCTTGGGGTTTGGGCCGCCGGGGTTTAAAAGGTCTAGGGTTTGCGTTTAAGGTTTAGGGTGCAAAGTTTAGGGTTTAGAGTTTAGGGTTGTGGTCTAAAGTTGCGAGGAAACCACTGAAAAGAGCTTGAAAACCTCCTAAACACTGAACCTCTCTATTTAACCGGCCTGGAAACCTCTCAGGACCTCTCAACCCCCCAGATCCCCAAACGCAAAACCCTGAAAGGTTTTAGGCTTTAAGATTTAGGGTTTCGTATAAGCCCTTGGTTTTTCCGTGCTTTGGAATTCCATGTTCAGGATTTAGAGTGCGGGCAGGCCGCTCCCTCTTGTGTTACCTCTTGTCACGACAGTTACTAGTTCATGGTTGGGATAATATGACAAAAATTGATGCTTTATTCCTTATTGGGTTTAAGTACCCTAAAAAAGTAAAATGTGACCCAACTATGACAAAGTTACCACCAAAAGGAGAAGTTGCCATCGACGTACTTCCCATTCAAGCCTTGAAACCTTGAGGACCCTGCAGCCGCCGTTAGGGTCCGTCTAATGAGGGTAACTAGGGTAAGCAGGGCAGTTCGGGTAAGTAGGGTAAGTAGGGCAATTAGGGGAAAGTAGGGCAACTAGGGTTTAGGGTATTTGAGGGTAATTACCATTTCGGCTTCGGCCCCAGCGCTGGGAGAACTCGCATTTTTGACACCGCTCTTTTGAGCGCCACCGGCGTCTGCTTTCGAAGGACCCGGCGATTTCAGGCGAACGGATTCCGGACGGGGCGGGCTTGAGGTTGCTGAAAAGAACCCCAAGAGACAGGCTTCGGATAGAAACCCAAATCCTCAAACCCCAAAACTCTAAGACCTAAAGCCCGAAACCCTGAACCTGCACCTTGGTGTCCTGGAGAGCTGAATAGAAAGAAAAGGACTGAGATTGGACTTGGGGTTCAGGATTCGTTTTGCATTGAGTTGAAGGCCTATACCCTGCAACTTTAAATTGCAAAGTGAAGTGGTGCCCAAACCATAGACCTGAAACCCAAACTCCCGCGACCCCAAATCCCAACTAAGCTAAGATCGCTGGCTTCGGGTTTAAGGCTAGGGGTTCAGGGTCTAGGGTCTGGGGTTTGGGGTTTGGGGCTTGGGGCTTGGGGCTTGGGGTTTGGGGTTCAGCGTTTGGGGTTTGGGGGCTGGGGGTTGGGGTTTGGGGCTTGGGTTTGGGGCTTTGGGATTGGGGGTCTGGGGTTTGGGGTTTGGGGCTTCTTTGTCTGGCAGTCCGAACCCCGACCACTCCGCTCGGCAACTTGAGGTGAGGCCGATCCGGCAAGATTCCTACGTGAGAATATGGATTCGGGTTTGGGGTTTAGGGTTTAGGCTTTAGGGTGTAAAGCTTAGTTTTTAGGGGCCCTAAACCCTAAACCCTAGACGGGGTTGCTCTGGGGTTTAGGGTTTTAGAGCCGATTTCATCCTAAACACCAAACACCCAAACCCCAAGCCCTTAACCCTAACCCCCAAACCCCAAACCCGCAACTCTAAACGCTTTCACCCTATGCTCGCGTGTCACCGGCTCTCACAAGGGCTCGATGACCATGGCGGCTTCATCAGCCGGGCCTGTGGCTTCATACTCAGACGACAAAACACCTAAAGCTCCTTTTGGGTCGCATGCGGATTTGGAGCCTAAAAATGCAGATTCGGAAATTAAAGAAAAATCGACTTCGGAAACGGCACGCACGGATTAACCAGGATTCGAAAACTAAAGGCACGGAGTTGGGCAACTATATAAAAACCAAACCTCGGTCTGATGATCAAACATGCCCGAGTAGGCTTGCCTCCTGAAAGGCCAGAGGCACAGGTATCACGACCGACGAGCACGGGTGAGCGGAGATAAGTAGCAAAATGTGCCCCGAAACTTGAGATCTCCCACACTGCACAGCTTTCAAGCTCCAGCCGTGCCTTGGCGCACATTTGATAGAACTTCTGGCGGCCCGAGCGCCAAGTACAAAACTCGGAAAACTGATGTGGGGTGCACCAAAGAGCCCAGTACCAATTCTTAGAATAGCCCTGGCGAAGCTGTCCATTTTTATCGCAGCCCTCAGATGAGGCAGTGTAACACACAAAACAGCACGGCTAAGGAAAACATGGTCGGCTGCGACACGGCTAAGCGCCGGCCTCAACGTGTTTCATGGCCTGCTTTGAAAGCCTCAGGAAGCTGTAAAGATCCTCCTGGTCTCCTCGACGAAAGCGCGGGTCTCACTCGGTCCCTTGCAACCTTGCTTCCCACATCCCACGGCAGCGAAGATACTTTTGACCGAGCGCACAGAAATGTCCAATTTGTCCGGTCCGGACGGCGCGCCGGCAAGGATCAGCTGCTGATACACGCAAGTTCCATGGCGGAAGCCCTTTCGGCCAGAGCAAGGATCGCATCGACTCCAGTGCTCGTACAGGCTCACCAGGCGCCCGGCGAATTGCAAGTCCAAGCCATGCTTGGTAAGGACCACTTCAGCACTGACTTCCATCAGGCCCTTCTGCTGAGCCGCCATGTCCGTCTCCGGGGCCACCGCGTCTGCCAGCGGAAGCGCCATTGCTGAACTTGGATCCTCAGGGCAGCTAATGCTGGGGCGCACCGCGCTTTTTCTTGCTGCACCAAACGCCTCATATCCGCATGATTCGATCCCCTTTTCTTGTGAAGTGTCTAATCCTGCACGTCCAACCAAAGCACTGAGCTGGGACCAGATCGGGGCTTCATGTCCTGAATGACCAAGCCTTCCTGCACGGACGGGAGCTTGATCAGGTCGGCTTTCAAGAGGCCAGCAGTGGTCAACTTGTGATCCACCGCGAGGCGCTTCAGAAAGGCCATTCACAGCCGAGGCAGGCACTGGCGCACCGTGAACTTGAGGAGAAGGGCTATCAGGTTTCAGGACTTGGCTCCGGGGCCTCTCTCTGTGGCCTCTCTGGGGCCGTGCGGATTCATTATGTAAGGTTCCAAAGCTTGTCTGGAGCCTTTAGGAATTTAGGGTCGCAGTGCAAACGGATGAGCACGTAGCATGGACGTCACGACGTTCGGGAATGGCGCGCGATGGTTTCTGACTCGCGCGAAAAAAACAAAAACGGAATCCTGGCGAGTAGTTTCTGAATCGGAGCAAAATCATTTCTGAATCGCGCGGATTAATTTCTAAATCCGGTGAAATATTTTCTGAATCTGTGCAAGGAATGCTGATCAAAAAGGTTCTGAATCTCTTGTAGGGTTTTAGGGTCAGGCTGGGTTCAATGGTTGGGGGCTTTAGGCGTTTTGGGGATTTGGGTTCAGGGTTTAAGGGTTTCAGGGTTCATGTGGTTCCAGGGTCTTGGGGGGACGATCGGGCATGGAAGGGTGTATAAGGGCACTGGTGCTGAGGGTACTGGGGCCTGTCATTGTTGAGCCTTTTTCATCCTGGTTGTCCTGAATGCGCTTGAGAAACCCTCAAAAATCAAGATAATAATCCTCCCTATATTGCCCTTATAAGGAAGGATATGTTCATTTTCTTTTGGGGGGGGGGGGGGTTCTTAAGCAAATAGTAGCTTAGGCTTATGGGTTAGGCGTTCCTAAGTGCACGTAGGGCTTAGGGTGCAAGTTGAGGGTACACTCCTTATGTTCCCTTGGCGTGCTTCAGCTCACATGCTTATTCATAGTGCTGCATGATGGCTGGGTTGTCTATGCTGCCGTTGCTTCTTCTGTCTGTGTGGACGATTCCTATATTTTAAGTGCGTTTTGCTAGCTGTGAATGTCACAGTGCTTTCTCTTGTGGATCCTTAAGTGCTACTTGGGTCCGGAGAGGTATTACTTTTAACTTGTTCCTACGCGTTTGTTCGTTGAGCACCTGTGTTCCCGCGTACGTCTGTGTGGTGTTCAGTACTTCTCCTGGACACCTTCCTTTTGCATGTGTTTGGCTAGGCATCGATAAGTAAGGTTTGCTCAGTGCCGACTCTTGAAGCAACTCTTTCGCGAGTCCTCCCGAAAGCTTATAGACCATAAACTCGAAACCCTGAACCCTAAACCGCACAAGATTAGGGTGCAAGGTGTATATAGGGTTTAGGGCGTAAGGGGGGGAGCGCCCTAACCCTGAACCCTAAACCCTAAACCTCCAACAAGATAGGCAAAAGCCCGAGGCCTCGGGTGACAACTGCGTGCCCAGCAGATCCCCCAGGTGCACGATGGTCTCGACGGGGATGGAGCTCATGTGCCTTCGGTGGTGGAGGGGTTTGGGGTTTAGGGTTTGGGGCTTGGGGTTTAGGGTTTAGGGCATAGGGTTTAGGGTTTAGGGTTTAGGGTTTAGGGTTTAGGGTTTAGGGTTTAGGGGGTTAGGGTTTAGGGTTTAGGGTTTAGGGTTTAGGGTTTAGGGTTTAGGGTTTAGGGTTTAGGGTTTAGGGTTTAGGGTTTAGGGTTTAGGGTTTA